CCGAGGACAGACCGTTCCACAACGCGGCTGTGCGGGGCAGAAAGTTCCGCGAAAACCGCACGGTTGTGGAATGCCAGCCATCGAGATGGTGGAATAAAAAATCAATTTAGAACAATCAACAAACAAATCAATAAAGAACAATGCTATCACAAAGTTTGTGTATCAGATTTGATAACAATGGATCTGTTATCAGTGATAAAGTCACCAGTAATGTGATATTGTGATTGATTGTGTGATAACGAATAAAATCCGAAGGAGGAATAAATTAGGAGCGTCGGTGGCTCAGTGGTTTAAGCACTTGATTTGTAATCTACAGGTCTTGGGTTCGAATCCCATAGTACCAATCTGATTTTCGATTTCTTGAACAGCTAGTATTATTTTACTACAAAAAATCTTTATCAAATAATGGTTTAAACCCTATTTCTACCAAACCGATAAACACAAATGCTATTTGTATCAGTGCAAATGGGGTCTAAATGTTACAAATTCAGTAGAGAGCTATGAAAATTCACTTAACACATTTACAACATCTCTAATTGTTAATCGACCTATTTTGTACTTGGCAAGTAACAATTAACAATACAGTAACACAAAATTCCATGAACAGTTAGTATTATTTACTACATATAGATGGTTTACATTAGGGTTGTAACGGAGGCCATTTTAACGGATGCGGATGCGAAGGGCTTCACCTCTGAAGAAACGGATGTTAACGGAAGCGGAAGCGGAGGTCAATAATAAAATATTAATTGCAATTTATTAAAGGAATAAAAACTAAGACTACTTTAATTCAAAATACAGATTGGTACATAATTACAAGATACAGTTTATTATTCAAATATAATGTATAACAATTATAGTTAGTTGACATATGACGCCCGCGCGAGCCGTATAAACTATACCTAAGCGCCCCATTCTTAAAGACGTAAATTAACCTACGTTATAACTCCTAAACAACGGAAGCGAAAACAGATGCGGAAGTTCATCACTTGCGGATGCGGAAGCAGAGTTCCGTTACAACCCTATTTTACATAGAGAATACTAGCCCAGTCAACTAAATAAATTATACCAATAAATATTGATACCTTTAAAACATACATTCAAATAAATATAATTATTTATCTATGAGTAACATAGGATTTTTTCTATTATTTTTATTTTCACGCAGACAGAGTCGCGAGCAACAGCTAGTAAATATATAGAGACAAGATTGCTTCATATATTTACATGATAAGATTAATTCGGAGAAGCTATGGCCTAGATAAGTGTAATGACAATTTTGATATGACCTCTTTTACATATAATTTATTATGTATATGTAGATTTTATTTAAATAGTTATACATTAAGGGCCTGTCCCACCACTGGCTGATGACTTATGATAAGAGTTATTTGGAGAACAAAAACCCTGCACCGACCTTATGGGAGTAGGATAAGGAGAAAGATGATGTATATTATAGCAGAGAAATGCTGATAATTCTATACATTTGTGTTCGAGTAGAATAAAAAAACAAGAGTAAGGGCCTGTCCCACCACTGGCTGATAGATGCCCAGATAGCTTAATGACGTCATTGTCAGATAAGGGAACAAAATCTGATATTTCCACCATACATTTCACACATTGGATTGTTATCAGACAATTTACAATTTGGTGGGACAGGCCCTAAGTGTATGGAAATTATATCATACTTTTAAATGTTTGGATGGATGCATTATTATGTAACTCAAATTAGACTATAAAGTGTAAAAGCATATGGTTATACAGAACCTTGATAACTCAAATCTCAGTAACAAATCAAAAAATAATATGTTCCCTTCTCATCAGAGCCCAAAACCTCTATAACATAGACCCTTGATAACTTAAAACCTTCTTCTTCCTTAGCTCTACAGCCCTTTGTGGGCCTTGGCTTGGTCAGGCAATTTTTTCCACTTCGGTCTGTTAGTGGCTATCGATTTCCAGTATCTTATGCCAACATTCTTAAACTTAAAACCTATATAACTTAAAATGTTTTGTGTTTCCCTTGGACTTTAACTTATCAAGGTTCTACGGTATTTGTTAAATATTATTTTTCAATTCAAATATACACCAATTAATAAATTTTGCAACATTTAGTATCTAAATATTTACATTTCCAAGGATATTCAAACTCTGAGTATCTGTTTTGAAGAATACTATTTAAAAAATAACATGGACTGATGCCAACACTTGTATATATTACTTTCATGTTTTTGACATAAAGCACTTTAAAACAATAGATAAATAAACAATTTTTAACATCAAACAAAATCAACTTGATTGATTTTACACCGAGAAAAACCTTTTTTTAAATAATATAAGGTGGCAAACGAGCAAGCGGCCTGAATCCACCGAAATGGAAAGCAACCGCTGCACATAAACATCTGCAATCACAGATACGTTGCCTACTCTTTATTGACGGAGGAGATGCACATAAAGAGGACATTTCACCTTCTTGCGTCTCCTTCAGCTTTAAATCTACTTTTCCTTTCCATCCTTTCCTCTTAAGAAAAGGGTGGAAGGGAAAGGGACTAAAATTAGTTTTATCATCATCTGTTTCCTATATTGATCATATTAATGAAGTCTAAATAAATATTATAAAGAGGAAACATTTGTATTTTTGTATGTATTGAAATAACTCAAAAACTACTGGACCAATTTCAAAAATTCTTTCACCATTAAACAGCTATGTTATCTGTGAGTAACATAGGCTGTATTTGTTATTATTTTATAATTGGAATTCGACAAAGTTGAGAGCAACGGCTAGTAAATTACAAGGGAATATAACATGCATTGAGTTTTTTTTTTTTCAATTAATTTCACAACAAAAATTTCCAACTTTTAGTATACTTTTTAACTCACAAACTACTGTATAGTAGCTAATTTTGTCACATACATTTCTACCATACTTTACATCTAAATTCACTATCTTAAGCATATCCCCTTTCACACAATCCATACTTTCCTATACTTTAGCCAGCCCCTGCAACCTTGATACTTAGTTGTTTGTTTGATTATCTCTCCGCAAATAGGCTTGTAATACAGATAAAATATATTAACAAATTTCTCTATTCAACCATCCTCCTTATCCTAAACCTGTAGGGTCGGTACAACAGGTTTTTGTTCTCCAAGTAACTCATAACACGCCATCTGAGTCATCACTCCCTTCATCATGTCACCTTTCACACTGTCTATTTATCTCTTTCTTGGTCAAACTCTACCAGTGTACCCCTCCACATTACTCTACTCTATATGTATCTTTGAATCTCGAACAGCATCATATAAAACAGAAATAAAACCTTGATCTTACTAATATTATAAATGCAAATGTTAAGATATTAGAATGGATGGATGTTTGTTACATCCAAGGCTTAACAGATCTTAATGAAATTTTTTAGAATATATTCTAGAACAGACTGCTTTTCATTTCCGCGCGTAAATATTCCCTAACAAAACGTAGTGACTGATAAATCAAATTGTAATAAAATACGCATAAAGTACTTAGTAAAAATCATTCTAATAAGATTCTTATTTGCTAACTAAGTATACAACTAAGCTTATAGGTCATAACACCTCCGTATAATTGGATTTAACACCACCTAACAGAGATATACAAAATATACTCACATGAAAAAACTTTATCGACACCGCAAAATTCTGTCATCAAATTAATAGTTCGGTTCTTGTTGCGAAATTCACTGTCAACTGGCCCGACATTTCTTCACCTCCGGTAAAAGTCAATAAACAATCGTTTGTTATATTTATTAGACAATTTACTGTGTGTAACGCTTTACACAATGTACCAATTAAGGTACACAATCGTAATGTAAGATTCAAGTGACATTAAATCGGTGAAGTCACGAGGGAAACATAATTAAAAAACGGATCTAATTTCACAAGATCACCTTATTTTTTATCGCACTGTGAAAATCTTTATTTTTTATGTTGAAATGTTTTAAAATTTTATAATAGTCAAAGCGCAAAAAAAAATTCGTTAAATGATGTACGACCCGCAAGTGCGTGACATGATGTGTTGTCAAAAATAATGCGATCTTAAATCGATTCCTGCAGACTCGATTTAACTCGTTCTTGATTGAAATAATTAATTTTAGATCAAAATTGAATTTTCCAAATAAAGAAGGGTAGGTAGATAAATAAAATAAAGAAAAACGAAATTTTCATTGCGAAATTAATATGCAGAATTTTTTTAACGACAAAAATTGTCATATACTTTATCATCTGTCCTATGTTATGTATTTTTTTACTCTTCAAAAATACCTATCTTTTTAAACGTCAAAGTCAGCATAATTGTTTACATTTCATGAGCGTTTGTTTAAAAAATTGTGTTTGTTCAAAAATCACGTTAAACTAGTAAGGAAACAAAGTTATCCTATAGTTTAAGCTAAAATGTCTTCCTTTTTATGTTTCATATGTCATAGCACAGTCAATTCTGATACAAATGAAGAAATTAGAGAAAAATATAGGGAAGTCATCGGAATGAATGTTGGTAATTTACTTGTAATTTCCGACTAAACGAAAACCCACCAAGTATTAACTTTAACTATTTGTTACAGCTATGTTCGGATTCTCATTTATGTCACATTTGCTGCCACATCCTAAATAAACTGGCCTGGTTCAGATCAATATGTCTGAAACGAAGCTTGGAGTATCCTGTGCTGTTTCGGTATAAAATGTATTTATTAATAGTAAAGAAAAGTGCGTCTGTAGCTTAAGATTTTAAGCACTTGACTTGTAAACTACAGGTAATGGATTCGAATCCCACTGTACCAATGTGCTTTTCGGATTTCAAATGTGCAAAATTTAGTTGACATTCTTATGGTGAAGGAAATCATCACGATGTCTACACATCTGTAAACAAATCCAAAGATATGTGTGAAGTCCCGCAGTGCAGTGTGGATGACTATGGCCTTTTTTTTCCGAGGGGAATGCTTTATGCATACTGCCGTCCCCAGGGCGTGGCAGTTATGTGGGATGCTCCTCTTGTGAGGTATACCCACTAAACCCTTTGGTTCTTCCAATGCATTGACTGAGGCCATGGGTATGCTTAGCTTTTGTCCGCAACCTAGATGACTATGGCCTAGTCTAACTTAGGATAGGCTCAGAGCTCCACAGTGGGGAAGTACAGTGAGCTGCTGACACAATTGTCAATGTGAACACATCTGTATATCCTGTTACTTCTAGTCTCATAAAGAACATTAATAAGGAATTTTATTCATGTCATTTTCAGTGAAAAAGGTACATTAAATCTACAAAGAACTGACATAGATCTACAAATATTATGCACAGATAATGAATGTCAAGATATAGATAATAAAAAATATATAAACCGTGATATCTATGTTAATGTTAGTCAGGGCAATGAAGAAGAATATATAAAACTAGAAGAACAAGGAGATATATCTGTAGATAAAAGTGAGGATAATGTTTGTGATGACTTTAATAATTCAAATGATTGCACAGAAGTAGAAGATGCAGAAAACAACTCACAAGATAACCAAACGGAAGATACAAGTAAAAAGAAATCTAAAAAATCAAAGAAGAAAGGTTTTGAAAAGATTGAACTAAGTGTAGAACAGCAGAAAGCGGAATTAGAAGGGAATAGAAGAGAAAAGAAGTATCTAGAAGCTGAATTTAAATGTTTTAATTGCGCTTTGGGATTTCTCTTCAAAGATACATATCAAGCACATATGATGAGACATGAAGAGGTAATATTTTTGTATACTTCTATACTTATGTTATAAAGGGGAAAGAATTGGATTTTTTTTTAATAATAGAAGGTGGCAAACAAGCAAGTGGCCACCTGAATCCGCCGAAATGGAAGGCGACCGCTGCCCATAAACATCCGCAATTTCAGATGCGTTGCCTACACTTAATTGACGGAGGAGGAAACGTACGCAATGAGTACATTTTCCCTTCCTATGCCCCTTCTCCACCGTAAAATCCACTTTTCCTTTCCACCCTTTTCTTAAGAGAAAAGGGTGGAAAGGGAATGGGACTAAAATTGGGCCTCCAGCACGACACTCATCAGATGAAACGCGGAATTACATCCACTTCACGCCTGTCTAAATTAAAAAAAAAAAATTAAAAAATTAAAAAAAATATAGCCTATGTTACTCAGATAAATTACCTTTCTAACGGTGAAAGAATTTTTGAAATCATCCCTGTAGTTTTTGAGTTATTTCAATACATAAAAAAAAAATCTTTCGTCTTTATAATATTAGTATAGTGTGTGTTTATGCTTTATTATAATAGTATAGATATAGATCATACTGTAAAATGTTTTAGATGGCAGTAAAAATTTATTATTATATAATTTTTACAGTCTAACGGTGAATATCGTTGTACATTATGTACTTTGCGGTTCGCAAGCCCCGCGGTGCTGCGCTCGCATAGAGCACTGCACAGAGAACGGTACCGTTGCTTACGTTGCAATGTGTTACTGCGGCCGCGGGCCCGCGCGAAACATGCGCTCTGCACCACTCTTACTGATTATGTCGCTTGTCATCTCTGTGCTAATCTCTTCAAGTGAGTGCATTTTTTTTATAACATAAGATAGCAAACGAGCAAACGGCCCTGAATCCACCAAAATGTGGAACAAATTGGCCATAGACATCCGCAATAGCGGGTGTTTACCCTTAATCGACGGAGAAGGAGACGCACATAAAGAGGACATTTCCTCTTCCTATGCATCTCCACCAAATCCACTTCCCCTTCCCATCCTCGCATAAGAAAAGGGTGGTAAAGAGAAAGGGACTTAAATTAGGTCTCCGGCACCACACTCATCAAACGAAACACGGAATTGCTTCTACTTCACGCCTGTCTTCTGTGTGGTCGTGGTATTACACCGGGCGAGCCGACCCATTCGTGCGAAGATGTTAAAGCGGGCTCTACCACTGTTAATTTTTTTCGCATTTATAATATTAGTCAGATTCCTTGATAAAAGTATACTATGTGTTCTCCCACTATCCTCTACATCTATGAGAAATTTTATCGAGAACCGATCCGTTTTAAAAGTATTAGTATGATTTTTTTACATACATCATTAGTATCCTATGTGTTCTTCCAGAATTCATTCGAATTTCATCAAGATCCGTTCAGTACTTTAACCTACAAACATCCATCTAGACTTTAGCATTTTTAACATAAGGTGACAAACAAGCAAGCGACCCTGAATCCGCCAAAATGTGGAAGCTAATGTCCATAGACCGCATTAGCAGATGTCTACCCTTCGACGGAGACGCACATAAAGAGGATATTTCCCCTTCCTATGCGTCTCCTCCACTGTCAAATCCACTTCCCCTTCCCATCCTATTATGAGTAAAATGGTGGGAAAGAAAAGGAATTAAAGTTGGGCCTCCGGCAACTTCACGCCTGTTTTCTGTGTGGTCGTGGTATTGCTGATAGCCCTGCAGAGAAGATGTTAAAGCGGTCCACTGTTAGATGTTTATAATTTGTAGAGATGCAAGTGGGTTACAACAGCATTTAAGGCGAGTACACAGTTCTCGCACCGGGCGGGTGTTCCCCTGCTCCGTGTGTGGGGAGATCTGTCGCAATCAGGCTGCCGTTAGGACACATATGTTGTAAGTTGACAATTCTTCATCCGCACGAAGTTATTAAAAATTTATTTTATTGTTCACATTTGTCAAATTATCAATTGCAAATGTCAAAATGACATGACTAACCTTGGCAATCTTGTGTCCTTGATGTTGGCAGCAACTTATGGTCTCTTTCCCACATTAGGGTTTTTATACAAAATATTAACCCCCTTTTTTTTCTCGCTGGGAAAATGCATTTACGCATCCCCCCCGTTACTAGGGGGGGTATGTGGGACTCGCCGGGTCCCGGGAACACTAAAATTAGGCTTTAGGCTATATATTTTCGCGCCATTAAACTTAGGGGGTTAATATTTTATTTATAAAAAAAAAAATTAACCCCCTAAGTTTAATGGCGCGAAAATATATAGCCTAAAGCATGACGTAAGTGTAAGGCTTTTTATTAAAAAAAAGTATTATTCAAAAATGTGTTGTAATTGCTGACATCTTAGGCAACAAAGAAGTGTGTGTTTTCGATTTATTATAATAGCACAGATTAATTGCTTATAGCACTAAAGCTAGAAAAAAATCCATATTTAATACTCCAGGAAGCATTTAAAGAAGAAATTCCCATGTGATATATGTTCAGCGGTATACAGCAGCCCCTACACACTGAACCAGCATAAAAAGAGACATCAAATGACAGGGGAGAGACATTACTGTACAACTTGTGGACTCAGTTACAGCACGAGGAAAAGTTTATTGGCACATAGAAGAAATAGTCTGAATCACCAACAAACTGTGTGAGTTTTTTTATTATATTACTCGACTGACTGTATGTCTTATGCTTAAGGGACAGATCTACAAGTCCAAAAGACCTGTATTGTATGGATCTGAATGTTGGGCCAACTAAATTGGATATATCTTTTTTTATAACATAGGTGGCAAATGAGCAAGCGGCCACCTGAATCCGCCAAAATGGCGAAGCGACTGCCCATAGACATCCGCAGTTGCAGATGCGTTGCCTATCCTTATCCGACGGAGGAGACGCACATAAAGAGGATATTGCCCCTTCCTATGCATCTCCTCCACCGTCAAATCCACTTCCCGTTCCCATCCTTTCCTTATAAGAAAAGGGTGGTAAAGAGAAAGGGACTTAAATTAGACTTCCGGCACCACACTCATCAGACTGTACACTGAATTGCTTCCATTTCACGCTTGTCTTCTGTGTGGTCGTGGTATTACTGGGGGCGAGCCCTGCAGTGCTAAGATGTTAAAGCGGGCACTACCACTGCATATGAAAGGAGATTGCATGTGGCTGGCGTATGTTAAGATGGATGTGACAAGAATGGATAAAATTAAGAATGTGTATATTAGAGGAAGTTTGAAAGTATTGTCAGTGGTGGAGAAATTGAGAAGCAAAATGTTAGCGTGGTATGGACATGTTATGCGAGACGATGGGGACATAAACCAGAAAGTGTTAAGAATGAATGTGGATGGCTACAAAGGAAGAGGAAGACCGAAGAAAGTATGGATTGTGTGAAAGAGGATATGCTTAAGAAAGGAGTGTTTTTCAGAATTCAGATATGACTGATAGAGATGTATGGAAGAGCACATACTGTGCCGACCCTCCCTAAGGGATATGGTCAAGTTGATGATGACTCTACTGACTGTATGTAAATTTTATTGTAACAACTTATAGAGTAAACTACTAAACAGATTTAGATGTATGAGGTGTCATTGGTCTCGTCTTCTTCTGCAGAGTGTCATAGGAGATATTATGTTACTCACAAAAGATTTTTTTTTATAATATAAGATGGCAAACGAGTAAACGGCCCAATCCGCCAAAATGGCGAAGCGACTGCCCATAGACATCCGCAATTGCAGCGCTACCTACCCTTCATTCACGGAGGAGACGCACATAAAGAGAACATTTCCCCTTCCTATGCGTCTCCACCGTCAAATCCATTTTCCCTTCCCACCCTTTTTCTTATGAGAAGAAAAGGGAACAAAACTGGGCCGGTACCACACTCATCAGACTGTAGGCGGAATATCTTCCACTTGCCGGCTGTCTGTGGTCGTGGTATTGCTGAGAGTCTGCACTGCCAACATGTTAGAGCGGCCTCTACCACTGTTAAATCTATAGTATATTTGTGAAATACAATTCTGTATTATGTGTTCTTCCAGACTATCCTTTACATTTATGACAAGATTGATATCCGTTCAGCATTTAAGGATACAAAAGAACATACATTTAACTAGTATTTTTAAACAATTATCGCGCGCAATATTCCAATACTAATGACATTGACAGCTGTCACTTAGAGATGTGACGTTCATGTCAATAATCTAGTGTTGCGCCAATTTAGCATTATGATTTCTGTGTAGTTTCGAATGCGGTAAATGTCCTCGTGTTCTACCTCACAAGAGGGCGCTGGAGTCGCACGAGCGGAGAGCGCACTCCCACACTACTCCCACTAAAACTACCTCCGCGAGACTACCAGTTGAAAGACGCGTTTGTTATCTCTGCGGGAAGAGTTTTAAGGTAGGAAACTACCTCATAAAAACTACCTAATTTCGACAATAAAAACATTCAGTGTGTTTGTATGTAAATAAAATAAAAAAAAAACTTTAAAAATTTTTTTCGGCCCAATATATTATATTGCTGACCAAAAATTGTGGCTTTAAAAAAATTGACATAATTTTTTTTTTAAATCTCAACTAAACGCTTTGGTATTTTTTTTATCTCAATATTGTACTCCGAATTAAAAATCTATCTATATTATTATTTAAAGAGTAAAGATTTGTATTTTTGTAAGTATTGAAATAACTCAAAAACAACTAATTTAAGAAAAAATTAAACATCTATTTACATTACTTGGGTTAAGATTAAAAGAAATAAAACAATATTTCTGTACCAAATTCATTATAGTTATATTTTCTAGCATTTTTCGAATAAAGTTAAATACCAGTAACGTCTAACAAAGAAATTAAATTATTTTTACAGCGAACAGCTTCTTTATTACATCACATTATATAAGAAAAATGTTTTTCCCAGTGTTTTTATTTTTTTAATTTTCAGGGCAACAGCAAACTAAATAGGCATCTAAAAGAAGTCTGCGAGAAAAGAATGGAAGAGAAATCTGTTTGTCTTTATGAATAAAGGAATTTATATAACAATCTACACAAAAGATCAAAAAAATATTTAAATGTAAATAAAAGTACAGATATCAACAAAAAATTATGCCTTTTTATTGAGTTCAAAGATTTTATTAAAAAATGTTTAATTTATTGAGATGTGTTTTTCTAACCCTATTTTTTTGACATTTATTAAGTCATGTGGCGCGTTTTATTTTTTAGTCAAAACCAAAACGTTATATACTATAGTTTGTCTAAAAAACAAAATGCACTAAAAACAAAACAAAATATTCTCAAAAAAACAGTACACTAAAAAGTAACGAAATAATTCCTTGAAAATAGTAAAC